GTTACTACAAAATGGCAGAATTCTGCGTGGACTCCAAAAATGGGGTTCTGTCATTTTGTTCACATTTTATTTACATTTGTTTTGTGCATTATTATTATTTATATATTGAGAGGTTCTATTTCAGCGAGTCTGTCCTAATTGAAGGTCAGCTTTGTGTAATGTTCGGATAGCTTTCAGTCGAAAGAGGCGTGTAGATTTGGCGAGTGATTTCGATTCAGGTCTGGCTTATTCTGGATAGTCTACACTATGTCGAGACTATCACTTTAACTTTTCTAATATTGCAGTTTTCCTCATTAGGTTGGGAATTACTGACAATTGGGTTGGGATTTACTACTATTCTGAGTTAGGTTTATTCTTTAACAATGGTTCTCTACAGTCACTCATAGACAAACCTTTTATTTAATTTATTTCAGGTAAGGTAAGGAAATCTGCTTTATTACTTAGGCAAAACTACATGCTATTTATAACTAATTCTCTATTTATTTTTAGGGTGCTGATAATCATTATAATGACTCTAATGATTATAGTGCTTATATTGCATATAATGATTATAATCAATATATGCAATTTATGCATTATAATCATTATATGCATGGTTATCCCAAATATAGCAGGAGATCTTCATACTCTGGGAAGGCATGACTTGAGGTTGAACAGCGAAAATTCATGATGAAATCGGTCACTTGTGGATCATGGGTTTTGGGTCTAACAATATATATATATTGTAAGCCTGATTTTTGGGATCACAGGTGCCTGAATCGAAGCAATGATTCTTGCCCGATCCTTACCAGATCAAAGGTCATGCGAAAAGTAACGAAATGTTACTTTTCTTACTTCTCTTACTTCTGTTATTTATGCTATTTCTGTTACTTATGTGATAAATAATATATCGACCTTTTATTAGATTTATTAAATATAATTAAGATATAAGGGATATTACATTTATGTTAGAAATTAATTACCAATGTAAACAAAACATTTATTATAAATAAAGGGCCTTCTTGCCTTGGGAAAAGGAGGAGAATCATCCCATATACCAATAAACCCCTAATAACACTAAATATCTGATCCCTAATAAAAGTATAAGTGTTACCCTATACAAACTAATAAACTATCATTAATCCTACTGTTATCTTTATCGTTTACCAATAAACCACTGCAACCGCCTTTGGACGTTTGCTGCAAGTACGTGACCAAGCTGTTAATGCAAGAGAAGGATCCAACTCCTATTCGACGTATTATAAGCCTAGGTTAAGTCATACAAGAGCAAAGAAGAGAAGGCAAGGGTTAATAGAAGAATAGGTTAAAAGAAAGACACAAAGAGAAGAGAAGACAAGTACTTACCTACAGATAAACCACCAGCCAAATCTAACACACCTATTTTGACTTAGCTGCTATAGGTTACACGAGAATTGGATTAGATTAGCAACTGAATCGCCAATTACTGAATCACAATATATATATTTATTTATATAGTAAATATATTTGTATATATTATTATATATTGTTATTATTATCCTAGGACTTCAAATGGCATTCCCAAGAATGTAGGATTACTATAATACTGAATTAGTCTGACACACCTGATTTGGCATTACTTAATTTATTTACTTTCTTTGTTACTGTTTCTTTGGCCAGCTTGACAATGGTTTGTTAACCATTAGTTTAATTGATGTATGTACATCTCTATATGTACATGTATATGTTCCTCCTTTCCACTTTTTTTTTTTTTTATAGTATTCTGATTATGATCTGGTTCCAAAGTTTATATGATGATTATTAATCAGAATATGCCTTGCTTAAAATCATAGCCACTGTTACAGGGTGTGCTCATATATATTTGTAAAATGCACCTGATGACCATCTTCCTATTCTCTAAATTACAGAAAGTTGTATATCTTGTAGTACTAGTTCTGTAGTGCCTCCTACATGGAAGCTATAACCAGCTACATTGGTGCCTGGTAAAAGTGATTTAAGCTTGTTAATAAACCAGCCTTTGGTTGCCAAAATCCTGTTGGTTTTAATAAACAAAGCACATTCTCCTGAGGCAAATTTTGGGTTAGTTTGGTGAATTACGTATGCTTTTAGTACTTTAATTGGACATAAGTTGTCTTTTGTTGAGTTTATAATTAGTATTGGGTGTTCTACTATTTTGTGGCTCTTTGTTCTGGGTAACTGAATTGTGGCAAATGTGTCATTGCCTGCTTTCTTGAACTTTAGGGCATGTATTGCAGGAATTTTTGTTATATCTTTTCAAGATTTTGGTAGGAGCTCCCCTAGATGGGCCAAGCTATAAAATGCTGCTAATGCTACAAACCAAAATAATAGGTTGTCAGAGTTGTTCAGGCTTAGTCTTGATTTTATATATTGTAGTTGGTCCCTTGTAATATGCTCTTTTTGGTTTGTTGGTCTAAATATATGATTGCTTTCTATAGTCTTTAAACATTGCTTTATTAGTGGGTCATAGTGTATATGGTTCTAGTTGGTGTAATTCATAGTATAGTGATGTTTCAGTGTGAATAGGTATGATGTAATAGTTAAAGGTGCAACTTTCAATATAGGTATGTTATAAATTTTGTTAAGCTGTCTCTTGATATTGGTCATACTGTTTTATCTTTGTTTAGCCATTTATTTTCTATGGCCAGTTTTTATAATACTTAATGATGTTGGTATATTGTAATGTTTTGGAGAGCTTATGCCTAATATTAATGCTGCTTGCTTGTCTATTGGTATGTTATTTGTAAAGATAACTAATGTTCCTATTTGTAGTTGCGATGTTTTAATCATGTTATTTTGTGCTGTGATGTTATCTGTGCCTAAAGATAGAGAGAAGGAATTGTGATTATTAATTTAGTATATTCTGTTAGGATTACTGGCTGTAAATATCTTGTAAATGGATTTTGTATCTTGTATTATCTGAATCCGTTACATGATAATAAATTTTCTTCCTTGTTATTTTTTCCTAAAATGTATTCTAACTTGATTGAGTAGTTGACATGAATTTGGACTATATATATTTTTATTATTATATTATTGACAGTTGAATTTTTACAGAATCTAGCATAAAATATTTTGGCATTTGCTTGATTATCTGTCCACATGATTAGTCATTTCTTCAACTATAATGGAGAAAATGTTAGTATTGCTATTAAGCATGTAAGTAGTTCATGCACTTGTATATTATGCTTCGATAAGTCTAATTCCTGAGACCAATTAAATGTTGTAAAGTATAAATTATATGTTGCATTACCTCCTAGGTTTGATGCATCAGTGTATAAATTTTGTGTGCTAGGTTGTAGCCATACTCTGTTTTCTATAAAATACATACTGGATCATATAAGTAGGATATTAGACTACTATCTTATGTCTGCCTTCATTGGCTAGTGATATTTATACTGAACTTTGATTTATTAGTGCTATTTGATGCTTTAATAAAACATTGAATAAAAGGTTTGCCTTGCGGAATAACTTGACATAGCCACATTAATGAGCCTACTAGAGATTGTAAGTCTTTTTTAAAGCACCACTTTTTGTTTTGCCATTCTGTGAGCATTTCTATAAGCTTGGCTTTCTTCGAATATGGGATTGAGGCTGAAAAAATGTTAGTATCAATATTGATTTCTAAGAATGTTAGAGCAGTACATAGTTCTTCAAGTTTAAACTGTTTATATAGAACATTTAGTATTTTTAGAATATGCAAAAATTGGCCAATTCTTGTTGTGCATTAGTCTTTAATATTATTAAAAAATCATTATATAATGTATTATTGATTTTATTTCTTGTTCTACAGCAATCCATATAATAACATCTGCAAAGCAGGAAAAAATTCAACCTAATGCTCTATTTCCAAATGCAAGTGCCTTATTAAAATAAATTTTTCTCTTATATTGCAGTTCTTGCAAAATTTAATTGACCAGATGTACTAGCAAGATGCAATATGCATCTTGAATATTAATTTTTAATAACATACAGTTATGGTTATACTAAGGTATTTATCCAATTGCATGATTAAGGTTTTCATACTTTGTTGTAAAGTCATTTGAATCAATGCCATCATTTTGTAGAGAGCAGATAAGTGGGATATTACTTAGTATACTTTGGGATTGGAGTTTTTCTTTTCTACTAACCTATATGGATTTACTTGAATTGTTGAATATGGTAAGTTGTTAATAGTAAATGGTCCACATATTTGTCCTATAGTAATTTACTGTTTATATAATTTATTAATGTCAATGGTTTTATATCAATTGATTTTAGGTTTTCTTATATTGTCATTGTATGCTTCTTTAAGAAATTGAATCTAAAACTATGCTCTAATCTATTTTGTATATATTGAATAACTGGGGGTTGGAGTGATTACATGTTAAGTAATCAAAAGCTATTTTGTTGATAGGGGTTGTAACATTAAATTAATGTAGATCTAACTATAATAGTATTATTAATTTCTCTTGTGTCATTGGGATGCTTCTTGGGAGTTGTGTTTCAATTATTTGATTTACTGATTGTAACATTGGTTTTGTATATAATGTTAATGCTCTAGCTGCCTTGAATTGTGTACTATATTTGAACTTCAGTCTTTTATTACTAGTTACTATTATATTATATAATATTAAAATTTGTTAGCTACATTCTTAATTTACTTGCTTAAATTTGGTATTGTTTTTTATTTTATATATATGTATATGTATATTATGCATATTTAATTAATAATGTTATATTATATTGTTATTTTATTATTGTTAATTGTAAGTATTATTATTATTTTTTTTTTTTATTTATTTATTTATATTAGGTAGTGTTATGTTGTTCAATCTTTGAGTTTGTATTTACTAAGCTAAACTTTCTAAGTTCTGGATGTTTACAAAAACAGTTTTTCTTACTATGACCTAGTTTTTGCATGTAATGCAAACATGAATCCTGTTACAGTTTTTGTTTTCTGTGCATATTCTTTTGTTTCAATTAAGGCATATTTTCTTGTCATTATGCTACATAATGCTAGATCATCTATTATAATGCCACTCATCTCTAGCTCTTTTTGTAGCTGCTACATCAAAATTCTTTCGTTCAGCTTCTGTATCTTAGTCCATTAAAGTTGTATCATGATTTATTACTAACTATTCTATGATCTTCATCATATCATTATAGCTGAGAATCTATATCTAATACACAGTTCATTTATATGGTCTTGATATGTGTTCAGCTCTAACTTCTGATTATTGTAAATTATAAGTGCTGCATCTATATATGCTTTGAATGCAAGAAGCTACTCTGATATATTTTCAAATGTAGCATTTTGTTTTTATTTTTTGATAGCTAAAATGCCTCAATCTAATGTTTGTAATATTGAATCTTTATTTATTTGTTTGACATTATTGACTAGATTTTTATGCACAAACTCTTGTAAATTAACAAACATGCCTAATGCTATAGCCTTCCACATCTTGTTAGGTAAGTTTGGTTTTTTTGGAAGCATTTCTATTCTTTTTTGCCATTCTGATCAGTTCATCACTCACCATAGTTGTATCTGCTTTGTCTCTATAGCTGTTTGATTGTAAAAACCTTGAATTGCATTCATCTTTTCTTTAGATATATAGGTTAATGATGGGAACTTTCTGTTGGTTGTCTTATAATTTATTTCTTCACTATCATTTACTTTTTTGTCTTAATTCTTTGAATTTAATTGTAATATTAAGTTATTCATTGTGGGTGTTGAAGGATAATTACCTTGTGCAGTCTCCATATTTTTTTCTAACTCTATTATGTTTTGTTGAGTATTTGATTGGCTAGTATGTTGCTATTGTATTGTACTGTTTTGTTCTTTTAGTATATTTTAAATATCATTGTGTGGGTTTGTTTTTTCTAATTGTGTGAATCTCTAATTTACAGTTTTTATGAGTCTTGCATTCCATTTCTGTTGTGTTTCTGCCTGCTGTTCCATGTACTACTGTATATTACATACTAATGATGCTGTTAATGTTTGGATTACTGTATCTATATATGTTCTTATTCGTGTTTCTAAGTTTGAAGCTGAATTCTGTGTCTCTTGGCTACTGAAAGTTGCTACTGTTTCTATTGACTCATTTGAAGTACTATTATTTCTATTATTTAAAGTGCTTCATGTTTTATGTATCCTTATTGCAAATCTTACTTCTTGCAGCAGTAAGGGCCTGTTGCCTGTATTATGCTTATTCTTATATTTCTCTGCCAATAATCTATTATTAATAATTGCATTGAACTCTAAATTAAGCAGTTAATTAAAATTTATTATGCTTATCTGATTTTATATGTTTCTGCCTGATTAGGCCATCTATCCACTTAGCCAATGTTGCTGCTGCCCCTCAGGATCCAACTGGTTTGGTTCTAGGATATCACCTCTTAATCATTTTTTTGATCTGTTAACTCTATGTCAACTTGAATGATATTTAGATAATCTGGCAAATATTCAAATAATTATTTGGTGACACAATCAAAACAGTGAGTCAGTTACTTACCAATCAAATATTTTATGTAATATACAAGTCAGACTTAATTAAAAAGATATGTTTTATTTGGTGAATAGATAGTTTGTAATTGTAAGCATTATTTTTATTAAAAAATGAAAGAAGAATATTATTATTAGTAGCATATTTTATTTAGATCATAAACACTAATGTTTCTTTATAGGGCTCAAATACTTAAAGAAGTTGAAAATGTAAGGCTAGTAATAGGTTTTATTTTAAAATCTAAAATTTAATTTACTAATTTTATTATACTTAATTTATCTTATTAAGATAAATTAAATATAAAACTTTTTAAAATTTAAATTTTAGTTATTTTTAAATATTTCTAATTTATAAAAGATTTTATTTTTCTATTTAAAGCAGCAATCTTGTCTGTATGTCTTTATTAAGTAACATATTAGTTATATATTTTTATATACAATAGTCTATCAACAAAAGTATAACTAGCCATATGTATAACTTTAGTTATTATTTAATTAAGGGTTCTGCCTATAGGTTACCTACTAGATGCCATACCTAAGACCTGCCTGTGAGTTTCCTATTTAAACTTTCTGATTTTTAATACATATTACATATATATACAATATCTATATTACCATTATGAGACATATCAAGTTAGAGTTATCTTAGTTACTATTTATATTAAAGTATTACCCTATTGGATGTTACTAAGTATCTATATTTTTTTCAATTTACTCTTGATGCAAGCTTACTAAGCTAGTACCAAGATTAATACTTAGATTCAATTTAGTGTAACTTATATCTACTAAATCAGTTTTAATAACAGAGATATTCAAATTTTAGTAAGTCTATTTCTTTTCTGTAGTTTTCTTTTATGTTTACCATATTACTTGCTAGTGTGTTTTTTCTTTATTTCTAATATGTTCACTGCTTTTCTCATATTGAGTATCAACTCTCTATATAGAGAAACTTTTTTTTAGTAACTTCTTTATACATTGATCTTCTATTCACATAGACTTAGCCATAGAGCTTTATGTACATTTATATGCTTTCATAGATTACAAAGTTTTTATCTCTAGCTAGAATTGGACTGTTATCTTGTCTGTAAGGGAGAAGTACCTAGACTACTAGGCTACAGAATCTCATCCTATTTATAAAAAATTTTATTAAGTAAAAATTATTTTTTAGATAAAATACACTAGTTTTATAGAATAAAAAATATAATTATCTTAATAAAATTTTGATAAATTGTATAATGATTAATATTAAATTATATAATAATAAATACAATAAGAACTCTTTAAATGCATACCCTTAGGATTACACTTTAACAAAATATGTTTAGAAAATAATAATAAAAGTGCATTTATAGAGGTCAAGAAATATTTAGGCCAAAATCTAAGTATATATTTAGAGAAGATGTATATTTATAAAGAATACATTTAGAAAAGTATAACTGTTTTAAAATTTTATTTTATTATATCAAATAATTAGTTTAAATATATTATTATATTATATATATTAAGGTTCTGCAATTTGATTTGATTTAATTTAAAAATTTATAATTGAAATTCAAAATTATAAGCTATTTATTTAAAATGTTATTAAGACAATCAATTTTTTTGTTTTATAAAACTAGAAATATTTTGTTTAGATAAACATTTTATTTAAAAGCTCAAGATTAATTAATATAATAAAAATATTTATAAATCAAGTTTTTTCTTTATCAATCAAAATTTAAAAATTTTTTTTTAAATTATAATAAATTCAAATATTTGAATTAAATATTTGATCAAATTAAATTGACTAAATTCAAAATAATATAATATTTAATTTGATTTAGATTTTAAAAACTTTAGTATATAATTAATAATTTGTTTTAATAAAACAAATTTTTTTTTCCTTCACTTCAACAGTCTTGCTGGTCACCTTTATTATATATTTTTGTATTACATACATACAAATTAGTTCATAAATACTGGCCCAACATCCTGTGGATACTTCTATAAGTCTCTACAAGTGATCTGTTTGCACTAACTGTCTAATTTCAAAAGAAATTAGAGTATGTCAGGGACTACATCAGACCACCACTTTACAATAGAATATTGCTAATCTGATAACATCTTCTTGTAAAAAGTGAACAAAAACAAAAAAAAAAGAACTTATATATAAAAAAAATATAGAGATATAGGGGTAAATAATAAAAAATACAAATGCAAGAAATAAAAGAGGAAAAGTAGAAGAAGTAAGAAACAAAAAAAAAGATATGTGCAACTCTCACTGCATGACTATCATATGGTCACAATTATAAGCCTATATCAGGTTTTTAAAAATTATAAACTATACTAAATAAAAATAACTCTACTATTTTTTATCTACTTGAATATTTAACAAAAACTATGTAGAATAAAACTTCAACTTGAATATAGAAAGTTGGCATAAATACTGGTTACTCTGAAGACAGTATTTCATAAGGTTTTAGCAGTTCGAGGCATGTGTATAAGTTGTGTTTGTATTGTTGTATTGTTTATATAATCCCAATTAGAAAGTAAATAGTGCTAACTGTTTTGGTATTTTACATGACAATCTTTTGAGAAGATAAACTAAATCATCTACTTTTTACAAAATTTTTCTTGAAAAAAAGAGAAGACATAAGATAAACCAAACTATAGCTTTTGTGAGTGCTTAAACTTTTTGAAAGTTTCTTGTAGGTTTTACAGTTTATAAAAATAATATATTTAATATTGTTGTTTACTTTATAAGAGACTTTTGGCTTTCACTAACTACTTTTTCTATGGTTCCAAAGTTTCTTTAAACTGTTTTCACAAAGTGATAGCTTCTTTTTTAACTCTATTTCAATGCCCACTTTGTATGCCCAGTGCTCTAGAGAAGTTTTTATAAAGTTTAATATATTAACTATATTATTTTTCTGTAGTTCAGTATTTTGGAAGATTTGGTTCAGATAATCATTAGAAAGAGTTGTAATTAGTCTTAATAAAACAAATTAATTATTATATAAACAATATTTTATATCTAATATTTTTGTAATAATATAAGCTCTAACTTATAATTTAAATATTTAATTAATATTATTTTTTTTAGTATAAAAGAAATAATTAAAAAATATAAAAAAAATTCAAAGTTAGTTCAATTAAAAAAATCAATTGATATTTTTAAATCAAATGTTTTTTTTTTTTTTGGTGTTAAGATGAAGCCTTGCTTATATCTTTATTAATAATTTTAACTGTATATTTTAGAATAGAAGTACTAAAATAAACTAAGGTTGTCTATAACAAAATAAAAATTACATGCAAGAATGAGAGCTCAGACTAGTTTATCTGTGACCTAAACCAACTATGGTGGTCAAGGCCCACCTAGATTTGGAGTGTTAGTATATATTAGTGTTACTAGCATTATTTTGGTATCGTGATGGAATTTGGTTATGTTTTTCCAATTAGAAAATTCAATGCAGTATGGTTTCCAAATTAGTTCATAGATTTGTTTGTTAATATATAGAAGTATTTGAATTACTATTTGTGAAGCTAATTGCGAAGGTATATTAAAGTTGCGAATAACTTCAATAAGTGATTTAGGTATAAGTCCTTTAAGTATAATGTCTATAAAATGTAGATTGTGTTGAAATAGTATGCGATCAAAACATGGATGATGGCATATATTAGAACCTAGTTTGTGAAGTTGAGAAGGTAATAGGTCCAGTTCAGTCTTGGAAAGTATTAGGTTAACAGATGTATGAATGATATTAAGAAGAGTATTATGTGTGTTAGAGCATGTATGCCAGTATGTAAATGAGTTAGGAAAATTGCATTTGAAGCAATTAGTATTGGTAAAGATATAAAAATATCTGTTATGAAGAAAGAATTGAGTTAGTAAGAATTTAGATTTGAAAGCTTTGAGTTGATTAAGTTTAAAGCTAATATAAAGAGATGTAGGTTTTTGGTTATAATTAAGATAAAACCAAGAGGAGGTTTAGTCTATGAGGTGGTTTAGATGAGACCATTCACTGTTTCTTTTTTGTAAAAATCACATTGCTAATATATATGCTTTGCATATATTTTTGATAAAATATCTAGTTAGTATTTCGATGAAGTTTTGTTTCTATTGAAGAATATGATATGGGTTATAAATATTGGTATAATTAAAGATGAGAGGTTAAAGAAGTATATGTTGTTTTGCTAAGGATCCTGCAAGGTTGTTAAAAGAATTATCAGTATGGGCTTGAACTTTCTAAAAGGTAATTTGAAGGTTAAAAAATTTTATAATATTAAGTAGGGTATGCCATAAAGGCCATGTACTAAATTTAAATAACTTGTTAGGGTTTTGTAATTGGTTAGATAGTGTGTGAAATTTTGAGATAACAGATTGTAAGTTTGTATATATGCTAATAGATGAATTACGAGGTGTAGTAGAAATTGCAGATATAATTAAGAATAGTTCAGTTTTATAGGATAATAGCCAT